TTTTATCATAGTTAAAATTTTTTTTTACCAAAACTATTGGGCTTTTTCTATTCGTGTAACTGGTATTACAGTCATTTTCTATTTCTACAGCAGGTACGCAAGTTTTATACTTAGATTTGCACATCATTGTTGATTGCGATTGTACTCCAAGTTTAATATCTTGGCACTCGAAATCAATTGATATACTTTCATTTGTGTAATTTATCTGATTTTCGTTGTCGATTTTTACATTCGATGGAATAATTTCAATATCAGATTTGCAGTTGGTGGTAAATTGAGATTGTACTCCAAGTTTAACATCTTGGCACTCGAAATCAATTAATGTATTCTCATTTTGGTCATCTGTCAGAATATTGTTTCCTATTTCTACAATAGGTATGCAAGTTTCGAACTCGGATCTGCAGATGTTGTTTGATGTAGACGGCAGTTCAAGTTTTACATCTTTGCACTCAAAATCAATCGATATACTTTCATTTATGTCTCCTGTCAGACTTTCGTCTTCTATTTTGGCAATAGGTTGAATATTTTTAATATCAGATTTGCAGTTGGTAGTAGATTGAGATTGTACTCTAAGTTTAACATCTTGGCACTCGAAATCAATTGATATATTCTCATTTTTGTCATCTGTCTGATTATTGTTTCCTATTTCTACAATAGGTATGCAAGTTTCGAACTCGGATTTGCAGATGTTGTTTGATGTAGATGGCAGTTCAAGTTTAACATCTTTGCATTCAAAATCAATTAATATATTCTCATTTTTGTCATCTGTCTGACTTTCGTTGTCTACTTTCGCAATAGGTTGAATATTTTCAATATCAGATTGGCAGATGGTTATGGATCGAGACCCTAATTCATGCTTAATATCATTGCACTCAACATCCTTGTTTATACTTTCGTACGCATTGTCTCTCTGATTATCGTTTTCTATTTTTACAATAGGTAGGGAAGTTTGATACTCGGATTTGCAGATGTTCGTTGATATAGACGGCAGTTTAAGTTTAACATCTTTGCATTCGAAATCGATGTCTATACTTTCATATACGTCGTCTTCCTGATTGTTACTTTCTATTTTTACAATAGGTAGGCAAGTTTCGAACTCAGATTTGCAGATGGTCTTTGATTTTGACGGTAGTTTAACTTTAACGTCTTTGCACTCAAAATCTATTATTATATTTTTATTCAACCTTTGCTGTAGCACCACTGCTTTCTCCGAATGTTGTGCCTAAAATGAAAATTAGGGGTTAGTTCTGAATCGTTTATCTATAGAACATGATAAAAAATTATTGGGCTCACCAATGAAATTTGAAACGGCAATTTTTGATTTTTTTTGGCATTGCAAGAGTCTACCGAATCAAAAACGTAATCGTCATCTGCAGTTGTCGAGCTATCACTCGGCTTTTTCTTTACCCTAAAGATCAGTTGAGTAAGGGTCTATTAAAAAATTATTACGGAAATTTGAAGCACTCAAAAATGTATACCTATCTTCGTCACTGTTGCTTTCCATTGTTTCTTTAATTAGTGGCATTCACTGTATTTAAAACTATAATACACCACAAAACAATTGACACTTCCTCGATTTTAGGTACAGATCTACAATCTGACACGCAAATAATTTGTAAACAATTGGATCACCAAGAAATTCAGTTATATACCGTATTTAGTAAATATTTTACTATCGATTGTTCAACTATTGATTAGTATCACTGCAAAACATTAGGCGAGCACTGAGTTTACTCGTGCGCAAGGACTACGTGTAAAATTGACATCGACCCCAGCAATGCGGCGGTCGCAAATATTCTGATCTGGAGCATTTTATTTTCCCATCATGCCCCCCTCGTAAATTCTCCATGCCACTCTGAACAAAATAAACGGCTGTGTATAGAGTACTGTAACTATAACATTAGGTGTGTTCCATCGTGGGTTTCCGCCCCACCACTTTTAAGGCGTAAACCTGGCTAGGGTAACTAGCTAGTCCTTGTGCGAAGGTCTTGCGACATTTTTTTGTTTAGGCTAGACTCGTCTGACGTATATTATTAGCGAGAAGACCCGCTGACTAGGATTGCCTCCCGGCAAAACATTTCCCCTCTACCTTCGACCGCATTTATACACAATTATTTTATACGCGTGTCGTTCTATTCTTTATATGTTGAGCGTGGGTATTTTAATTCAGTGACAGTCGGAAAAAATAGCAAAGCAGAGGTTCGGGGGGAAGTCTGTGTGCATGGCATACGCTGCAATAATAACAATATTTCACAGCAGGTGAGGCGGTCGTCCTTACTTCGCTCTATTGACATTTTCTTCTTTTCATCACTCAATAATATGAAATAAATCTCAAATTTTAACAGAAGATTCGACGAAAAATACTTCAATAGTGAATATTTACTTCAAAAATATGTTCATTGTTCAATTTGAGTTGTATCAACAATTTTACAAATCATTCAAATCAAAAATTCCACGATAAAATCACGATTGACAAGTTCGTCTTCGAACGCCTGTAAAAAAATTCGATAATTGTTTATGACATATCAATTTCATTTATAGTTTTTTAATTGTTAAAGGCTTCTATCTATGTCGCATTTAAACATATCGAGACAAATTTTTTTTTTGTTTTTGTGGAAATTTTTTTCTAGTCTGAAGCAATAAATATGTTGAATAGGTTTGAGCCAATGCTGAATGACCATTCGCTACTAATTATAATGCGATACTTGCTTCTAATTGACCAAGGCTGGCGTGGGCACATTACCTTGGTATTTTTCAGATGATGGATACGCGATTCGTGGGTGTTTTGGTAGCAACAAGTAGTTAGCATTCTTCCATTTATGTAACTAAGACTAAAAACCATCATTGCGTAGAAATAAGTTTTTTTAACATTGTTTATTTAATTTTATTTATTCATTCTCAATCCGAACGCTCAAGCGAAAAGACGTAAAAATATATTTCATTGAGTTCGAGTTAGCAAGAGCTTCACACGTCATGCAAAAAATAATTATTTATTAAAATATCCAACGGTCTTTTTGGTATGTTATTTGATTATTTATCTTAATATGGTGCGTATTCGTTTTTGACAATCTTCGGCTTGAATTTACTGGAAAATTTTCAGGACAAAAATTTAACATTAATGGGTAACACCAATCTAGGTTTTTTTGAAAATGCGGAAATCCGGGAATTTTTGGCGGAAGCAACGATAGATCATTCAATTTGAGACTTTCAGAACTGATAAAACATGTCTTGAAGTACTCAAAAATATTTTTTCTATTGATTTTCATTTCATAGTCGCGGAGATCATTTAGATTAACAAACAAACGATTTTTTCACTATCAATAACTTTTCTCGGCTCCTAGGGCACTGAGAACTAAAATTAAACTATCCTCTGACAGTTGAATGATTTTCTAGTGCAGTACGTATGGTGAGACAGGAAACTAAAAATTGTGGAAATGTCAGTTTTCAAAAAAAATTTTTCGATAAAAATTTCTCGGAAAATTAATTATAAAAATTAAAATAATAATCCAATCGATAACGGTTACTAAGTTCCCTTAAAAATGTCATTTTGAACCTTCAGTTAAAATTTCAGGTTGATAAGTTTAGTATTTCCTTAGATTTTCTTAACCCAGTATCGAAAAATGTTGTTTACAGTAAGGCATTTGGCTCTAATATAAAGCTCAATAGAAAAATTAAAAATAAAGCACCTTGAAATTATATTCACCTTATAAAACCAATTTGGTATCATTCTACACATTTAAAGGAAACTTTTTATGCAAAAAGCCTGTTTATTGAAAATTTTAGAGTGGTGTTACTTTATCTGACCCGTATATCTGAAAAACGGCATCCTTACGATTTTGAAATAAAATCTGGTACAAAAGCTGAAGATATTTTTCAGAGAATAAATTCTATTCTTCGTAGTCAAAATACATTTCAGTTTGTAAAAATTAAGTGTAGTTTCTGAAAATATGTAATCAGTTCGAAAATGTTCTCAACATTTACGCTCGCAAATGCGGCATTTCTTTTCACTCGAGTTTATTTATAAGGTTTTTGTGACGAGGAAACGAGAAAAACCATACTACAAATCATTGTCATCATTATTGAAACTCATTGTTTGTAAAGATCATGTGAATCGAGGTTTCAGAAACATGTAAAAGTGTATAATCTATGAAAATTTTGTCAGACATATTTTCTAAAAATTTGTAAAGACGGAAAATCGTGTTTTACCATAAAAATGACAACACTAACAATAAATAGTTGATGAACAATTCTGGATTCAGGAGGCCGATTGAAAGGACTATCTTTATCTGTAATAATAATGAAGAACACGCAATGAAAGATAATGGCATAAACGGAATATTTCAGAACTAATAAAGCAATAATAAAACAAATAAATTAAGAACGTAGATAAGTTTTTACTGAATTATGTTTTATGCAGAGGATTTATTTTTATGTATTTATTTGTTTTTTGATTCATTCATTCATGTACAGAGGTTAACTGATAGAGGTTTTAATAGGCCAAACAAAATTTATTGCAGTATGAAATACTCAACATTTTTTTCACAATTTTAAAAAATATTTATGATAAAAATGGTCCTGTACGGTAATCATGAAGGTACACAATTAAGACGTTTCTATACATCGAAGCAATAATTAAGACGTTACAATAATTAAGACGTTTTTATACATCGAAGCAAATTTCATTTAAATTATACAAATTTTTATAACACAAGAGCCATAAACTAGCGATAAAGTTACAATACAATGTGTGTGGACTTCCAAGGTAACTTGTGTCCAACACTAGATATTATTTCAGCGATAATACATTGAATTTATTTTACCTAATGGCTGTGTCCGATTATTATTGGCTTATTCTAACTAATACTTTTTGTCACCTACAGGATAGAAACTATAGTTGTATATCTGTTATTCTATAAGCCAGTCCATCTCATAATATACCCATATTATTCAAACTGATCAAGGGCCATAGACATGCCAGTCACATTCATTCTAATTCTCATTTATTTATCCCTCAGACATCCATCAGCTTTCTTACGCTTAAGAACAGTTTCGATGAAGACCACAAAAGTTGTCCATGTTTCCTTGTCTTGGAGCATCACGCCGATGATGTTGTCTGGCGTGAGTACTCCGTAAATAGACTCTAGTTCCTGACGCCGAGCTGTCCACTTAACACAGTGGAAAAACGTATGTTCAGCGTCGTCTCGTTCGTGTCCACAGTACATGCAGTTAGGTGTCAACACTTTTTTCTTATTAAAAAAGTGTTGCCTGAAGTAACCATATCCTGTCAGGAATTGGGTAACGTAAAAATTTATAACCCCAAATTTCCGTTCACTCCATGGGGTCAAATCATTTATAAGTCTTCTCGTCCAGCAAACACTTAATGTTTGATTTTGATTAGGTGTTAAATCATTATGATTTTCAAAGATGCTATTTTGTATTAGTGATTTCTTACGATCTTCATCCTCGACGAGTTTGCTCCGATCATGATCTGAATTTATGTGATATTCGAGGAGACTGTTCGATGGAAATGATTTGTCACAGATCTTACATTCAGAGGATTTGATACTATTATGTACTGCTTTTTCATGACGATCGAGGGTCTCCTTTTCTCCATATGATTTATGACATGTCTTACATTCAAAGGGTTTTCTATGATCATGTACGAATTTCATGTGAATTTTGAGATAACCTTTGTGTCCAAATGATTTGTGACAAATCTCACATTCGAAGGATTGGATACGTTCATGAACTACATTTGTGTGAACATTGAGATGTTCTTGCCGAGTAAACGATTTGTGACATATCTTACATTCGAAGGGTTTGGTACTATTATGTACTGCTTTCACATGACGATCGAGGGTCTCCTTTTCTCCATATGATTTATGACATGTCTTACATTCAAAGGGTTTTCTATGATCATGTACTACTTTCATGTGAATTTTGAGATAACCTTTGTGTCCAAATGATTTGTGACAAATCTCACATTCGAAGGATTGGATACGTTCATGAACTACATTTGTGTGAACATTGAGATGTTCTTGCCGAGTAAACAATTTGTGACATATCTTACATTCGAAGGGTTTGGTACTATTATGTATTGCTTTCACATGACGATCGAGGGTCTCCTTTTCTCCATATGATTTATGACATGTCTTACATTCAAAGGGTTTTCTATGATCATGTACGAATTTCATGTGAATTTTGAGATAACCTTTGTGTCCAAATGATTTGTGACAAATCTCACATTTGAAGGGTTTTCTATGATCATGTACGAATTTCATGTGAATTTTGAGATAACCTTTGTGTCCAAATGATTTGTGACATATCTTACATTCGAAGGGTTTGGCACTATTATGTACTGCTTTCACATGACGATCGAGGGTACCCTTTTCTCCAAATAATTTATGACAAATTTTATATTCAAAGGGTTCGCTACGATCATGAGCTAGAATAATGTGACTTTTGAGGTGTCCTTTTTGTCCAAATAATTTCTGACAAATGTCACATTCAAAGGATTTGATACGATCATGTACTGTATAAATGTGAACTTTGAGATATTCTTGTCGTGGAAACGATTTGTGACAAATCTTACATTCGAAGGGTTTGATACTATTATGTACTTCATTTATATGTCTTTCCAGGATACCTTTTTCTACAAATGATTTGGTACAAATGGTGCATTCAAAGGGTTTGCTCTTTTTATGTACTGTACTCATGTGTCCTTTGGGATTATTCTGATATCCAAAAGATTTATGATAAATTTTAACTTCAAAGGGTTCGCTAGGACCATGAACTAGAATAATGTGACTTTTGAGATGTCCTTTCTGTCCAAACGATTTGTGACAAATCTCACATTGAAAGGGTTTATTCTGATTGTGTACTAAATTAATGTGAATTTTGAGATAACCTTTTTGTCCGAATGATTTTCGACAAATTTCACATTCAAATGGTTTGCTATGATCATGTACTGCTTTCACGTGGCGCATGAGGTGACTCTTATATCCAAATGTTTTATGACATCTCTTACATTCGAACGGTTTGATACTTTTATGTACTGCATTTATGTGAATTTTCAGATGTTCTTGCCGAGCAAACGATTTGTTACAAATCTCGCATTTAAATGACTTACTACTGATATGTATAGCATTCATGTGACCTTTGAGAACATGTTTGTATCCAAATGATTTATAACAAATGTGACACTTGAAGGGTTTGTCATGAACTCGAATAATGTGAATTTTGAGATCTCCTTTATGTCTAAATGATTTTTGACACTTGTCACATTCAAAGGTTTTGATACGATCATATACTGGATTCATGTAAGCCATGAGGGTATTTCTTTATTCAAATGATTTGTGACGAATATTACAGTCCCACAGTCTGATCCTTTCAAGGATCAGATGCATTCATACGTAGGGCTTCGCAGTAAAAGTTTTTTGAAAAATTGTTGACTTTTGCGCTGAATTTTTGTTCTCAGCTTTTTCAAAATATTTTATTTTCCCATAATCGGCATTTTTGAATGTAAATTCAAACTGAATTGACTATTTTTATCGTGATTGAAACTTTATTTTATCAAAATTTTTAGATTCTTATATTCGTGCAATTGTTAATACGTTTTTTTCTTACTCAAAAAATCAATAACATTTTTATTTAGTTTTGCTAATAGTGATTTATAAAGACTTTAGATCAATTTCAACATTTTTGCATTCAAAGTTATGACTATATTTTTATTTCTTGGCCCAGTCTCATTTTGCCTAAAATGGAAATTGTTCGTTAATTTCTGAAGGTAGTTAAAATAAGATATTTCAAATCATTGAACTCACCGATTATTCAAACAATGACACTTTTTGACGTTTTCTGCTCTACAAGAGTCCGCTGAGGGAAAATTAAAATCGTCGCCTGCTTCTGGCTAATATTATTCAGTTCTTTCTTTATCCTGAAGAATAATAAAGTTTAATGAGAGATGGTTGAGACAATTATCATGACTGTATAATACGCAACTACCTAGGCAACTGCTACTTTCTATTTCTTGTTGGTTCATATGCATTTACTGTAACTTTTCACTATATGACGACAAAAAAATTAATTACCACCAATAGTTGACACTGTACCTCGATTTTAGGTATGAATTTATACTCATTCACATAAATAATTTTACTCAGTTTGCTCATAAATAACGCAAGAAATTAAGATGTACACTGGAATGGATATCACTGTCAATTGCTGGTTATTATTGATTCGCGTCACTGCAAAATATGAGGCACCGATTTCACTTATGTGCTCAGTTTCCCGTCATGCCAACCTTTTAAATTCTCCATACCACACTGAAAACAAACGTCACTATAAATAGCAGCATATAGAGTATTATATCATATTATTGGATTGTCCCACCACTTTCAAGGTATAATTTTCGAAGGGATGTCTTGGCTATTCCTCGTGCATAATTTTTTCGGTATTTTTCTGTTTAGGGCGAATACCTCAGACGTATATTATTTTAGAGATAACCCATTGACTGGTATTGTCTTCCGACAGAACACTTCCCCTCTGCCTTTTAACTGCGTGTTAATGCACAATTATTTTGTATCGTGTCACCTTTATTTAAAGTATAGATTTATACTCATTCACGTAAATAGTTTTTAATCAGTTTGCTCACAAACAACACAAGAAATTAAGGTTTACACTGGAATCGACATCACTATCAATCGCACTGCGCATAATCTGAACAGTGTCACTTAGAAATGCAAGGCGAGCAATGGACTTACCTATGTCAATGTTGGATTGCGGGTGACTACAATACGACCGCCCATCACTGTTTTATCGATATAGCTAGTGTTGCCAAATTTTGACTCGAACAACTCCATAATATTGTCACGGTGTATGAGCGTATAGAAATGTAAAGAATGAAAATAAAAATGTGTCTTACTTATTGAAATTTCTCCATGATATTGAAGGGCGATTTAAACGGTCCAAACCCCGAAAAATGTAAAAACAGATTGCACAGGAGGTACTGGTATAGAATGACAATGTCTGATACGTTGATAAAACAGTGACGGCCAAACATATTGTAGTCACCTGCAATTCAAACGCTGACTTACTCTCGATACCACATCAGAAAAAACACTGCTCTATAGACGAAGGTAGGAAGTACTATCAAATTATAGGTGGCCCGTCGCGGGTTGCTGACCCACCACTTATGAAGCGCAACTCTTGAGAGATCAGGTAGGGTGACTATCTAATCCTCGTGCATGGATCTTACGGCATTTTTTTGTTTAGGGGGAACGCCTCAGATGTATAGATTATATATTCACGTATATATTAGGGAGATGACCCGCTGACTAGAATCGCCTCCTGGCAAAACATTTTCCCCTTTACCTTCGAGCGAGTCAATGCCCAATTATTGTGTACGTGTGTCCCTTTATAATTTTTATGCTAAGCATGAGTATTTTAATTCAGTCACGGGGGGAAAAATTTCAAAGCAGTGGATTGAGGGATGACATATGCAGCAATAATAACAATTCTACACATACAGGTAAGGCATCATCTCTTTTTTCAAGTTAAACGCACTGACAATTACAAAAGAAGATTTAAAAATTCGAAACTAAAATCGTGATTGACAAGTTTGTCGTTGAAAGCATACAATGTACTTCGATAATTGTTTGTAAATGTTCAAGGAACATAATAAATGCGTGAATTATGGAAATTTTGATAGATATTTTTTTTTTATTTATCAGGTGTTTTTACAAACGAAAAATCTTAATTTTTTGTTATTGCTGAACCAAGCGAAGTAGTTTAAGTTCTTTTCGTTAAACTTTTCAATGTATTGCCTTACTTCGATATCACACGAATGGACGAACTAATCTCTTTCAAATTTGAATAGATTCATATATTGACGAATGGCTGTATAATTTTTGGTAAGCACCATGATGCACTCCCATAATAAACATTATCACCATATGGAATTTGAAAAAACTTTAAAATGGATATTTTTTTTTCTTTCACGTTTACTGAAACACAAGTCTTTAAATTGTTTAATTTTTATATCATGGCTGGGATATGCAATGTTGATAATTAAGTTATCATGGCTCATTGGGTAAGGTAGTAAGTCTGTGAAAAACGAGCTCGTAAAAGCGATAATAATATGAGATATACGATAATAATTTAAAAAGTTCAACAGCTGCTTTGGCTTGCAGTACTCCTTACGAACTAAATTATGAATGACTTCCCGACATTATCGCCACGCTTGACGTAGTATGCCTTGTATAGAAATTTGGCTTGCGCTACTATGGATATATTCAAGAAATAATAAAAAAAAATTGGAGGCTCGAATCGCGATCGAAATTTCGGTTGTGGAATGCACGTTATGAAATTTTTTTTTCAATCAGAAAACACGAAAGAATGCTTGAACATTAGAAATTTTGATCAATACATTTTTTAAAACCATTTTCGTATTTTTGATAATGGAAAATCGAGTTGTTTCGTCAAAGTGACAATATTAACAAGAATAGATTAGGAATGATTCTGGATAATCGTCGATTTGCAAGATTACCTAATATTATGAAAAGAGGTTAATGGAATAGTGCAGTTTTATACCAATAAAGAAATGAACAAATGTAACATAATGAAAAGTTATTAGGTTAATTTATTTATTAAAAAATTATGGTCATAGCTCTTTCCTTTGAAAACCAAATTGAATACAGTTTGACTGGAAATTTTTTCCAAATGTGAAACAATATTTATAATAATACTTTTCAATTATTACAATTCTTATAAACATGCTACATTGTTATGTTCTGATAATTTGGAGCAAATTTTACCTGAAAAAGATTTATTACGATAAAAAAATCTTTTTATCTGGAATTTTTGTCTCCCATAGGATGAAAACTGCCCATTCTAAAAGCCAGTCCGTTTTCATACATACCCATTTTCATTCAAACCGATCAAGGGCCATAGACATGCCAATCACATTCATTCTAATTCTCATTCATTTATCCCTCAGACATCCATCAGCTTTCTTACGCTTAAGAACAGTTTCGATGAAGACCACAAAAGTTGTCCATGTTTCCTTGTCCCGGAGCATCACGCCGATGATGTTGTCTGGCGTGATTTCTCCGTAAACGGACTCTAGTTCCTGACGCCGAGCTGTCCACTTGACACAGTGGAAAAACGTATGTTCAGCGTCGTCTCGTTCGTGTCCACAGTACATGCAGTTAGGCGTTAGCAATTTTTTCTTATTAAAAAAGTGTTGCCTGAAGTAACCATATCCTGTCAGGAATTGGGTAACGTAAAAATTTATAACCCCAAATTTTCGTTCATTCCATGGGGTCGAATCATTTATAAGTCTTCTCGTCCAGCAAACATTTAATGATTGATTCCGATTAGGTATTGGATTAATATTATTTTGATTGATGCAATTTTGCATTGCTGATTGCTCGCGATCTTTATCCTTAGAGAGTTTCCCGTGATTATTAATTGAATTTATATGGCATTTATGATTACTTTTGCTCTCGAAAGATTTGTGACAAATATTACATTCACAAGTGGGGCTACTATAGTGTAGCATCGTTATGTGTCTTCTCAGATGACGTTTGCAGTTAAAAGATTGTTGACAAAAGTTACATTCGAAGAAATTTTTATAATTACTTTTTGTTTTAATCACAGCGTCATCAGTAATTTTTAGGTCAAACAACTTGTGGCCGATGTCACATTCAAAGGACGTGTTACTATTGTGTTCCGTTTCTATGTGTCTTCTAAGACAATTCTTACGGTCGAAAAATTTGTGACAAATATCACATTCGTAGGTTGTTTTATAATTTCTATCTATATCAACGTCAGGTTCAAGAGTACTTTTTAATTTGAATGACTTGTAATCAATTTCGCATTCAAAAGCTGTGCTACTACTGTGTACCGTTGCTATATGTTTTCTAAGATGATATTTGCAGTCAAAAAATTCGTTACATATATCACATTTGAAGCATTCTCTATAATCATTTGCTTCTTGTTGGTGAACTCCAAGTGTACTTTTCAGTTCAAATGACTCAAGATCATTGCCAATCTCCAAAGATGTGTTTTCAGAGTGTACCCCTGCTATATGTCTTCTTAGATAATGCTTGCGGCTATATGAAATGTGACAAATGTCACATTCAAAGGATTTTCTATAATTATGTTCTGTTTTTTCATGATTTTCGATAATACCACTGACTTGCTCCAATTTTTGAAAGATGTCACAATTAGCGGGTGTATTGTCGTTATGTATCGTTGTTATATGTTTTTTTAGATGATGCTTGCGACCGTATGATAAGTCACAAATGTCACATTGAAAGGATTGTCTATAATTATGTTCTGTTTTTTCATGAGTTCCGAGAGGACCACTGACTTGCACCAATTTCCGACAGATGTTACAATCACAAGGTGTATTGTCATTATGTACCGTTGTTATATGTCTTCTTAGATAATGCTTGCGGCTATATGAAATGTGACAAATGTCACATTCAAAGAATTTTCTATAATTATGTTCTGTTGTTTTATGATTTTCGATAGTACCACTGGCTTGCTCCAATTTTTGAAAGATATCACAATTAGCGGGTGTATTGTCGTTATGTATCGTTGTTATATGTTTTTTTAGATGATGCTTGCTACCGTATGATAAGTGACAAATATCACATTGGAAGGATTTTTGATAATTATGTTCTGTTTTTTCATGATTTTCGATATTACCACTCACTTGCTGAAATTTTTGAATGATGTCACAATTAGCGGGTGTATTGTTGTTATGTACTGTTGTTATATGTCTTCGTAGATGATGCTTCCGACCGTATGATAAGTGACATTTATCACATTGGAAGGATTTTTGATAATTATGTTCTGTTTTTTCATGATTTTCGATAGTACCACTGACTTGCTCCAATTTTTGAAAGATATCACAATTAGCGGGTGTATTGTTCCAATGTACTGTTGTTATATGTCTTCGTAGATGATGCTTCCGACCGTATGATAAGTGACAAATATCACATTCAAAGGATTTCTTATAATTATGTTCTGTTTTTTCATGATTTTCGATAGTACCACTGACTTGCTCCAATTTTTGAAAGATATCACAATTAGCGGGTATATTGTCGTTATGTATCGTTGTTATATGTTTTTTTAGATGATGCTTGCGACCGTATGATAAGTGACAAATATCACATTGTAAGGATTTTTGATAATTATGTTCTGTTTTTTCATGATTTTCGATATTACCACTCACTTGCTGTAATTTTTGAATGATGTCACAATTAGCGGGTGTATTGTTGTTATGTACTGTTGTTATATGTCTTCGTAGATGATGCTTCCGACCGTATGATAAGTGACATTTATCACATTGGAAGGATTTTTGATAATTATGTTCTGTTTTTTCATGATTTTCGATAGTACCACTGACTTGCTCCAATTTTTGAAAGATATCACAATTAGCGGGTGTTTTGTTCCAATGTACTGTTGTTATATGTCTTCGTAAATGATGCTTGCGACTGTATGATAGGTGGCAAATATCATATTCAAAGGATTTCTTATAATTATGTTCTGTTTTTTCATGATTTTCGATAATACCACTGACTTGCTCCAATTTTTGAAAGATTTCACAATCAGAGGGTGTATTGTCATTATGTACCGTTGTTATATGTTCTTTTAGATGATGCTTTCGACCGTATGATAGGTGACAAATATCACATTCAAAGGATTTCTTATAATTATGTTCGGTTTGCTGCTGAGAATCAAGAGTACTTACTAGTTGAACTGATTTATCATTATGTACCGTTATTATGTGTCTTTGCAGATTATGCTTGCGGCCAAATGATTGGTGGCAAACATTGCATTCGAAAGGTTTGCCACAATCGTGTATTACTTTTATGTGTTTATCGAGGATCCTTTTTCGTGTAAAACTTTTATAACAAATCTCACATTTGAAGGTTTTTTGACGTTCGTGTACTGAATTTATGTGGTTACTACGATGACCCTTTGGAGTAAACGTTTCGTGACAAATTTCACTATTGAAACGTTTACTACGAGTATGCACTGCATTCGTGTGATATTCGAGTAGACTCTTAAGTAAAAATAATTCAAGACAAATTTTACATTCGAAGAGTTGGCTCCGATCGTGTATCATATTTATGTGATATTCGAGGAGGTTCTTGAGTAGAAATGTTTTTTGACAAATGTCACATTTGAAGGGTTTGCTCCAGTCATGATCTAAATTTATGTGATATCTGAGGAGACTCTTTGATAGAAATGTTTTGTGACAAATGTCACATTTGAAGAGTATACTACGATTATGTATTGAATTAATATGGAAGTCGAGGTCAGTCTTGGATGAAAATGATTCGAGACAAATATCACAATTAAATCGTTTTCTACGATCGTGAGCCAATTTTATGTGGTTACTAAGATGACCCTTCAGAGAAAATGTTTTCATACAAATCTCACATTTAAAGGGTTTTTTACTACGACTATGTGCTATATTTATGTGTTTACTAAGATTAACCTTTAAAGAAAACAATTTTTTACAAATATCACATTCAAAGTATTCGCTGCAATCGCGAACTACATTTTCGTTTTTGTTGCAATCACTATTATTTGAAAATAATTTATTTAAAATTTCACATCCACGTATGGCCCTATGATCGTGTACCGTCGTTATGTGTCTTCTTAGATATCGTTTGCGATCAAAAGAATGGTGACAAATGTCACATTGGAAAGATTTTTTATAATTATTTGCTGTATAAATGTCAGCTTCAAGAGTACTTTTCAGTTTAACCGATTTATCGATAGCATCAGATTGAATAGGTGCGCTATTATCATGTACTGTTATTATGTGTCTTTCAAGATGCTTGTGGGCAAATGATTGGTGGCCAATATTGCATTCGAAAGATTTGTCACGATTGTGTATTAATTTTATGTGTTTATTGTGGGAACTTTTTGATGTAAAGCTTTTAAAACAAATCTCACATTTGAACGGTGTGCTACGCTTATGCACGGTATTAATGTGAATATTGAGATTACCCTTGTATTTAAATGATTTGTTGCAAATTTCGCACTTGAAGGGTTTTGTATTATTATGAACCGTATTTATATGACGGTAGAGGTTACCCTTGATTGTAAATGACTTGCGACAAATGTCACATTGGAAGAATTTTCCATAATTACTTGCTGTATTAATTTCAGCTTCACGAGTACTTTCTAGTTCAACTGATTTGTTAATAGCGCTATCATCATGTACTGTTATTATATGACTTTGAAGATGATGCTTGCGGCCAAATGACTTATGGCAAATATCGCATTCGAAAGATTTGTCACGAATATGTATTACATTTATGTGTGTACTAAGGGAACTTTTAGTTGTAAAACTTTTAAAACAAATCTCACATTTGAAGGGTGTGCTACGCTTATGTACGGCATTAATATGAACATTGACATAATTCTTGGATTTAAATGATTTGTGGCAAATTTCGCACTTGAAGGGTTTCGTACTATTATGAACTGAATTTATATGTCTGCTGAGATAACCCTTGATTGAAAATGACTTGTGACACATATCGCATTGAAAGGGTTTATTACGATTATGTACTGATTTTATGTGAACCCTGAGACTACTTTTTAATCTAAATGATTTATGACAAATTTTACATTGGAAAAGTTCTCCCCAATCATGCATTTTAATTATGTGCCCTTTGAGTAAATTCTTGTATCCAAATGCTTTGTGACATTTATCACATTTGAAGGGATTTCTACGAAGGTGTACTGCTTTAATGTGAGCACTGAGGCTTTGTTTTTGTCCAAATGATTTTCTACAAATGTCGCATTCAAAAGATTTCATACGATAGTGTACTGTATCTACGTGACTTTTAAGATTGGCCTTGTATGAAAACGATTTTTCACAGATATCGCACTTGAAGGGTTTGTTGCCTTCGTGTACTGTATTTATATGAATTTTCAATGTACGTTTTCGTCGGAATGATTTTAGGCAAATTTTACATTTGAATGGTGCACTAGAATTATGTACCTCCTGTATGTGAGCTTTGAGGCGACAATTTAGCCGAAATACTTTGTGACAAATTTCACACTCGAAAAATTGTTTAGGATTATGCATTGAATAGATATGAGTTTTGAGTGCACGCTTATGGCTGAATGAATTTTGGCAAATTTCACAGCGAAAGGGGTTTTTACCATCATGTACAGTCATAATGTGAATTCTGAGTGCATACTCGCTACTAAATGGATTGTGACAAATGTCACACTCACAGGAGGTTTTACGATTATGTACTACATTTAGATGATTTTTAAGTACAGCTTTATATCCAAAAGATTTGTCACAAATTTCACATTGATAGGGTTTACTACGATCGTGTACTGTCTGTTTGTGTTTTCTGAGGTTACTTTCTAATCCAAATGATTTGTGACAAATGTCACATGCAAAGGATTTGTTCCGATTATGTACTGCGCGTATGTGAACTTTGAGACCATTTTTATCTGATGTAGATTTTTGGCAAATGTCGCACTTGAATCGTTCTTTATAATAGTGTACTTCATTCACATGAGTTTTGAGATGAATTTTCTGCCCAAACGATTTTTCACAAAAATCACATTTGAATAATTTGCTATGTTCGATATTTACGTGAGTTTTGAGATCATATTTGCAGCTGAACGAATTGTGACATTTTTTACACTGGAGTAATTTGCTTTGATCGTGCATTACCAACATGTGATTTTTAAGTACACTCTGGTATCCAAATGATTTATGACATATATCACATTCAAAGGCTTTGTTATTATTATGTCCAATATGTATATGTTTGGCGAGATAAGCTTTTTGTGCATAAGATTTGTGACAAATGTCACATTGAAAGGGTTTAATGCGATTATGTACTGCCTTTATGTGTTTATTAAGGTTAGTTTTAAGTCCATACGATTTGTGACAAGTAGCACACTTGAAGGGTTTGATGCGATCATGTACTATATTCATATGATTTTTAAGTATACTCTTATATTTAAATGGTTTTTGACAGACCTTACATGCTAGGGTTTTGTTACAATCACGTGAGACCTTCAAGTGAGACTTGACGGCTTCATTCGATGCCAATGATGTGTGACAAAGATTACTTTCGAATTGACCATTTTTATCGTAATTAAACCCTTTTTTTATCAAAATTATTGGTTGTTTTTCATTCACGAAATTCTTAAGTTTACTTTTATCTTTTTCCACAATAGGTTGATTCTCGGTCTTGCAGGTGGTCGTTGATAGAGACGGCAGTTCCTTTTCAACATCTCTGCACTCAAAATCTATCCTGATATATTCATCTGTTATCTCCGCAGTTTCACTCCAGTGTTTCCTCTAAAATAAAAATTATGGAGTAGTTTTTTATGGTCAAATAAGAAAAAATATTTTAAATCTGAGGAGACCTTACTCAGAATTGGCCTTGAACAAGTGTCATCTCACCAGTTATTGAAATCATATAAAAGCAAACAAGTGAATGAAAATTTTGGTCCAACTTAAAATTCAATAATGGTAAAATTAAAATAGTTGATAAGTAATAAAATATTTTTTGTAACATATTATAATTTTATTGCGCGTCAATTTCAAGTTAAACGTAAACTAAGCTTTCAATTACTGGTGAGGTGACTCTACATGAACTAACGCTACCACAATCTGCTACAAATGATTAAAGAGAACGCACATTATTAAAAAAAAACTTCATTTTTATCGTTCTTAAATTTTACTACTTGGAAATTTTTCAATATTTACGGAGGCTCGATCAAAAACGTATTTCATTTACCATCTTCGTGAAATTTTAACCCAAGACGATAGTTATCGTGGTTACAAATTCATTGATAAAAAAAAGTTATGGTTTGCCCAACAAATTCAAGAGATAATTACATTCTAAGTTTAGCCCATTCAACAAGAACTCTTATGGAAAATCGTATATTTACCATTTTTTTGAAGTTTATAACATTAAAAGTAAATTTTATAAGCTTTCTCGTGATATGATTACAAGTAAGGGTCACCGAGCATTTACAAAAGATATAAAGAGTTGAAACCGGAAGTCGTGACACGTCACGTGACGCCAGCGTAATCACGGGTAATTCAAAATTCAACAATAAATAATGTCATGTTTTAGCAAATATAAATTCATTTTTCCTCATTCGTCAATGTTGCTAAATATTGGTATTCTGTATACCTAAATTGTTTTCTGTGATAATTTTGGGTGTCAAACGTGAGTGCGTTGTGCGCTTGCGCAATGCATGCACAAAACGTTCAATTGTAAGTTACCTTACATCGATCGAGCCTCTTTGCAATAGAAAAAATAAAATAAACGAAGATTATGTTATAAACTGTAAAAATACGCAATGAGTCGCCTTTCAGCCTCAGCACCCCCTCGAAAAATCAATCGAAATTAGTCTTAAGCATTGTTTCGAGGAAAGAGTTGTAATAAACGACATGAGACCTCTAAAAAAATTAATTAATTAATTTTTTTAATACAGTTTAAGACCGTTAAAGTATGCGTAAAAAGGATCATTGAAATAAGACTTTTTCCTCCATTAAAAATAAACATTTGAAACAAATGTGCACTTTTTGGTTCGAAGGTGTAAGATCTCCATATTATATCTTCGAACTCACCGATGATTCAGGCAATAACCTTGTTTCACGGTTTTCTGCTTCGACAGAGTCTGTCGGATTGAAATTAAAATCGTCGCCTTCATCTGGACAAGTATTATTCAATACTTTCTTTTCTCTGAAAAATAATTGACTACAATAAGGGATCGCTTGAAAAATGTTCGTGACGGTACAATACACACCTATCTACGTTGCTGCGGCTCTCCATTACTTTTTGGAGTATATTTATTTAACTTTGCACGATATGCTGACAAGAAAGCTCAAAATTAAACGCCACAAGTAGTTGACACTGTACCTCGATTTCAAGTAACGACCTTTCACATATAGATAATTAGAAAACAAGTTGCTCGCCAAGAAATTAAGTTTTACACTGCGATAAACATCACTATTAATCGAACTGCGAATCAGCTGAACAGCGTCACTTCGAAATATTGGACGAGCAATATGGGTTTACTTATGTATTTATGATGAGCGTTGACCAAGCCAATGCGTAGATCGAAGATATTCTGCGTACGAAACACGTGACTTTCCCATCATACCACACTCGAGCAAATTCTCCCTGCCGCTCATAACAAATACTGCACCATAAATGGCAGCGTAGAGTGTACTATCGAATTATAGGTTGCCCCACTACTTTGAAGGCGTAACTTTCGAAGGGATGTCTTGGGTAACTAGCTAGTCCTCGTGCGTTGGTCTTACGATGTTTTTTTTTGTTTAGGCTGGACTCCTCAGACGTATATTATTAGGGTGACGACACGCTGACTAGTATTGCCTCCTGGCAAAACATTTCTCTTATACCTACAACCACATTTATACCATACAGAAATATTTTTTACGCGTGTGCAGCTTCATTCTTCGTATATTGAGCGTGGGCATTTTAAATCAGTCAAGGGGGAAAAAAATATCAAAGCAATGGATTAAGGGGATGTCTGTGTGTGTGACATACGCGACAATAATAACAATAGTATACGGGCAGGTAAGGCATCGACCCTACTTAGCTGTATTGACGTCTCTTCTTTTCATCGCCGAAGTAAATGAGACACGCTGTAAATTCCAACAGAAGATTTGTCGAAATATACTTCAAAAGATGCTCATTTTTTTGCTTCAATTTGAGTATATGAGCGATTCCGGAATTTAGTTTCGAATTTTTTGGCTAAAAACGGAAAAAATTTTTTTTTGTTGGACGCATATTAGCAGAAAGCTGATGAAATCTCCAGCCACTTAGAAATTGAGTGAATTTTAGTATTTACGAGAAAACATGACTTTCACCCTTTTCAACACAAAAGTAAAAAATGACCTATCTTCAAATTTCACGTTCGCGCGTTTTTTTAGCTTACAAAGACCTTCGAAAACAATACCCCATATTCATAATATGCATCCAAAACGAAAAAAATTAGCCCAAAATTTCGAAACTAAAGTCCAACGAAATTTTATCATTCGATTCAGCGCTAACACCATGCAAAAAGGTAATTTTATTATATAATCGTAAAATTCTATGGCACCAATCATACCAAAAATTAGAGCAATTGTCGATAAGGACTTTTTAGTTTTATAAGCATTTCGTATTTTTTGTTTATTATTTTTAATTTGCATCTAAAAGATTTACACATTTTTTACATAAACTTCTATATACTCGAAAGGTTCTCGATCGACAATCATCCTAATATTTTTTCTGGAAAAGTAGGATTAAGACGGCAGAATTAATTTCACTTCTTAGAGTGCGTCCAATATTAAAAAAGTTACATACAAATTTTTACAAAATAAAAAAATTCAATTGTAACAAAGTGAAAAAGCCGTTCAATATTCTTAAATTTTTGTGAAAAAACTTTGAAGTATTTCAAACTCTCGGCTGAGTTCATCCTTGGTGTACAAATCAATCGCCATCAACAATGAAAAATTCAATCGCAATTTTAGCCTCGAATCTCGTCGATCATCCATAGTCGTACAAATCCCTCGCGTGGCCAGTGCTCTCTCGAGCTTTTCTCGGCACAGCTCGCATAATCGCTAATTGGAACCAAGTGGCATTCATCGCTCTCTAGGATTCCCGTGTATATTAATTGTCAACTTTCTTTTTGCAACGCGAGTATACGCACAAATAAATGCAATGATACAAATTTGGCGACTCGCGATACGCGACGTATGCGCGCGCGCACGAGTCGAATTAATAGCGCGCATCGCGTTCTCCAATTGATTGTATTAGGGTCAAAATAATACTTTTTTACAAAACCGTGCGCACGTATGTCACCGATCTTGACGCGCTTTTGGTATGTTATAGTACATGGTAAAAAGGTCCCAAAAAAAAATTTTTAGACCCCCTCCCCCCTCCTACCCCCCACTTCCGGTATAAACGTCCATTTTCGATCTATATTTTTTCTGAGGACATGAAGCAAGTAAAAAATCTGAAAAAATTCATAAAAATACTTTTCCACAATCCAAACAACCTTGAATTTTTTCAGATTTTTTGAGTGCTTCAGGCCTTCAGAAAAAATTATTGAAAATTTCAAAAATCGAGATACGGCGGTATGAGCCGATGTAGTACTCGGAAATTTTTTCAGTTATTTTTCGCATTAAAAAACATAACCTCAATTTTTTTCAGATTTTTTCAGATTACCTAACGCACCTTTTGAAGCCAAAAACCGATTTTTTTGACGAAAATAATTTTTTTAGGACAGTACGGAGCCTCGAAAAATCTGAAAAAAATTTTTTCTTGTTTTTTTCATCAAAATACGTAATCTCAAATTTTTTCAGATTTTTTAATTGAAGGCGATAGCTTCTAGGGCCGAAAAATGCTATTTTTAACAAAAAATGGTTCCTAGAACCCGATGGTTCCGGTGAAAAAATTTGAAAATATTTTTTTTGAATTCCTTGTCAAATTTTAATAAATTTTGACCGTTTCAAAAGTTCGATTGAAGCTTCCTAGCTCATTTTAGAGCATCAAACGAGTTTTATCATTCCTTAATGTCTTCAGAAACGTCTTCAGATATTTTGCACTAATCTTTGTCCTGCTCTAAAATGAGCTAGGAAGCTTCAATCGAACTTTTGAAACGGTCAAAATTTATTAAAATTTGACAAGGAATTCAAAAAAAATATTTTCAAATTTTTTCACCGGAACCATCGGGTTCTAGGAACCATTTTTTGTTAAAAATAGCATTTTTCGGCCCTAGAAGCTATCGCCTTCAATTAAAAAATCTGAAAAAATTTGAGATTATGTGTTTTGATGAGAAAAACAAGAAAAAATTTTTTTCAGATTTTTCGAGGCTCCGTATCGTTCTAAAAAAATTATTTTCGTTAAAAAAAACGGTTTTTTGCTTCAAAAGGTGCGTTAGGTCATCTGAAAAAATCTGAAAAAAATTGAGGTAATGTTTTTCAATGCGATAAAAAACTGAAAAAATTTTCGTTTACTACATCGGCTCATACCGCCATATCTCGATTTTTGAAATTTTCAATAATTTTTTCTGAAGGCCTGAAGCACTCAAAAAATCTGAAAAAATTCAAGGTTGTTTGGATTGTGGAAAAGTATTTTTATGAATTTTTTCAGATTTTTTAATTGCTTCAGGCCTTCAGAAAAAATATAGATCGAAAATGGACGTTTATACCGGAAGTGGGGGGTAGGAGGGGGGAGGGGGTCTAAAAATTTTTTTTCGAGACCTTTTTACCATGTACTATAACATACTAAAAGCGCGTCAAGATCGGTGACATACGTGCGCACGGTTTTGTAAAAAAGTATTATTTTGACCCATTATTATACGAGCTTCGCGTCGCTCGCGCTCGACGATAATTGTCAAATCCAATTACAGTTCTATGTCTGCGTGCGTTTCGATACATAAATCACTCTCCCTCTCTCGGTCGAGCTTAATTGAAATATTTATATCGCGTGTATGTGTGTATGTGTGTACGTATACCTGTATACGATAGCCAATGTATCGAGAGAGGAAGAAAGGCCGTCCGGACTAATTATACGCGCGTTTCGATTTATATGCATTATATACCGAGCGATAATAAAAAAATATCGACTTTAATTATTTCCCATTATAAAACGAGGTAGTAATGCAATAAAATATATAAAAAAGCTCGCCAACGGATTCCCCGATGTTTTATAATATCCGATTGAGATCTTCCAACCGTAATGGAGTCTCGTTCGGGAGAAAACAAAGGGATAAAACTTTTCTCCGCTCTCTCCTCAGAGAGAGAGAGAGATAGAGAGAGAGAACTCCAATGGGTTAACCTATTCAATTCCCTGAACGGAAATTCTCGGCTTCTTTCTAGGAGGTGTAGAGGGTGCGGAGAGAGGGAGCGAGGTAAAGGATAGAGGTCAATTTTCCTCGCTTTAGCCAATTCTTTCCGTTGGGCTCTATATATGTATTATACGGCGGAACTTCCATAAGAATTACCGCGTCTCTCGCCTCCTATATCCCTTTTATCCGCACGGCGCGCGCGAGCTCATTCGATTTATATATGTGGCGCTCAAAGTTCCCGCAGTTACGTATATTACTATACACCTTTGTGCGCTTTTATTTGTGTATATGCTTTATATACGCCGCATTTGCCATTTTGGATTTTCGATGGTTATATATATTATATATAAAATCCTTCCTTCAGCCCCGGGGATTTATAATCGTGAGGCACGAAAGCTCTCTCTCTCTCTCTCTCTCTCCCGGTCGTCGCCGGGCGCCGAAGGAAATAATTCACATTACACAAGCTCCGAGCATAAAGCAGCCCCGCAAGCTCATTTTCGCAACGGAGCGCACATCCTCGAGGAATATATACATGTAGGTGCAGGGAACAACCACTTCCTGCAGCTGCGGGTGTAAGTGCATTACGTACGTAGCCTGGCGCACAGCCTCGGCGGCCTATCTACTCATTTAGCCAATAAAAAGCTTCATAAAGCCCCGAGCTCGTAAACTCATCCAGGCGCTCTCGTACGCGTATATATAAAATATATATAGCGAAAATAATACTCGCGCGTGTGTGCAATAATAAACGAAACAAGCTCTATCTCAACATTTACATTGCCGTATATATATAAAATGTCTCGCGAGCGAGCTCGACGTTATAATACATAACGCAAGAGAGCTGCAGCGCGCCGAGAAGAGAGAGAGAGAGGATTATTTCGCTTTAAAGCGCTTATCCAAACACAAACGGGCGCGACGTTGCCTAAGCGTAAAAGAGCTCTCTTGCTGCACACTCGAGTAGCGGTGCAGCGAGTAATGGTCAATTCGCCGCTGGGGTAAACTTTTCGAAACGAAAAATCCATATATGCCCGCCGTCGCTACGCTACATAAAGCCATGTATATACGCAGTTTTGACGATCGTTGCAGCGGCGGTAGAGAAGAAACGATGAAATGTCACGTATGATACTTACTCGTGTGCATGTGTATATGAGCGAAAGAGATTGACGGCGTAGCTACGATGACGAGAGCTTGTAATATAATAATAAGAGATAAAAAGAGAGAGACGATTATTTGCGTTGTTTTCACTGGCAGAGATGCAGAACTGCACGACGAGCCGCGCGACGGCGACGCTGTGGACCTTGTTGATTTTTGCCCGCTGCGAATTCAAGAGAAAGAGAGTGAGAGAGGGTAATAATAATTACTCACTTCTTGTATGCATAATGACATTTTACAACGGCATATAAAATCTATATATTTTTTCGTACTTCGATTCACGTCGACCTCATAATTTTTTTCCTCTTTTCTTTTTCAATATCTTATGTTTGGATAAAACTATATATACAGTGGACTTTGGTTTACAGCTTATACATATATATAAAAATCGACATCCGATCGCCGTAACTTTTTCTCCTCTTCCTCGAGTGTGTATATTTTTCATATAAAAAGGAAACTCGTGTCGCGATCACAGCACCGAGACGTACGGATTTTTTTTACTCTGCAACGACGTCGACGACGACGACGACGCGGCAGCAGCAGCAGCTGCAGCTTCGGCAGTTGACGTCGCAGAAGTATTGACGGTGGTAGCGTTGGTGGCATCTGTCGCTGACGAGCTCGGCGATCCACGGATACTCTGAACGATTTGATTGAGGCAATCCAAGCTACTGCCCGAGGAGGAGCCCGGCTGATCGCCGCTCGAGGATCCGTCGATGCCCCCACGATCGTATCCTGCAGCAAAGAAAAGAAAAGAAACGTAAAGTTGTGTGATATATATCGAGAAAAGTCAAAATTACGTTGCGAGTTGAAAAATGAATACACTACTATGGTGCCGCGTTCTTTTTTGATTAAATTTTTTTACTTCGTTGTATCGTGGATCTTTATTTTCATCTTTTTTTATTTTACAGAAAAGCCGTAAACGAGGCAACGTATATATGAAAAGTAATAAATTTTTCGACCTTCTCCCCCCCGTCCGTCAACTCGGTTTACGTATTATACGCTTTTATACTTTTTGTCGCATGTGCCACCGCTACACGGCTCTCGAGAGGCAGCAACAAAAAAATATAGTTAAAAATACGATACGAATCTCGTTAAATATTCAGATTGCACGAGGCTGCTGCGAGGAGAGCTTTCACGATATATAAAAGTGGTAAATTACTGCCAAGGCACGCAGATCGCTCGCCTCGTTATCGTGTACATAAAAACAATTTCCCCGCGCTCCATCCCAGCAGTGCCATGTATACCTAATTTTTCCTCCGCGTCGGCACAACGTGTGTGCGTGTGTGTGACCCATATCTCGAATGTGCCAGAGAGAGAAAGAGAGAGCCTAGAGCCATCAGCCGCATTACAACCATTCCATTTTTTCCTCTCTCTCTCTCGGTCTTTCTTTCCCCATATTCGACCACCTACTCGACCAGCGAGAGCGTACATAATATTTCACAAACGTTGCGGGCCATGCCAAATTTTCCCCGCGCGCGCGAAAAACTCCGGCGAGGGCAGAGGGAGGGGGGGGGGGGNGGGGGGGGGGGGGGGGGGGGGAGAACTTCGATGTTCTGTAGCCGCCGCCGCCGAGCGCAGTGATTAATGCCTTTCGTTATTTTTCATGCGTATAAATCTTCCCTGACTCTGCAAACATACACACATACATACATACACGGACGATGCGCTAGAGAGAGCGAGAGAGATTTTCAAGCCTGCCATGCCTGCACCACACACACACACATATATACACAAACGCTATTTTCGGGTAAAACGGGGTACATAACGAGATCACGCAGGCAGAAATGCAGCCGAAGATACCGCGGCTTTTAATTCTGACCGATCGCTTTTTCGCGGAATACGCGACGCGATTGAAATATGCGGCTGAATTTTTGCGTGCATGTGTGTGTGTGTGTCTGTAATACATGGCTGTTGACAGGCTCTCTCGCGATACTCGCGCGCTGGTATAACAGCGATGATTTTTTTTTTGTTTCGGTTTCGACGTCGGTTTACATATATCTACGCGCGCGTGTAACGATTCAATACGTGCATTTCGAGCTTTGATGAACCTCTGAATACGAAAAGTTACATGCGCACACAACGATTTTCCGACGGATTTTCAATCAATTTTAACGGAAACTTTACATTTTCATCAATTGTTATTTAGAGAGAGAGAAAGGGAAGCGAACGGCCGCACACAGAGTATAAGAGACCTCCCACGAATGTGTGTGTGTACTTTATTTCCGTACCATTAATTCTATACATTCATCCTGCGTGATGAGACTATATCGGAGAGAAAGTTTTCCGCTGTATACGCATCTGCAAATACACGTCGAAAATTACATAACTCGATCCGAGCTTAACTTTTGAGCTTTCTTCCTGTACGATTGTCGCGCATCCGTATATACGTACCGTAAAGTCCCCTTCCTCCGATTTCCGATACATATCTCTCATTGTACGCTCTCATATCGACGCGGATTATTATGTATACAAGGATTTATATCGGCGCAAGCTTCGAGTACAACAGCTTATAATACGGTATATGTCTCGGTGGTGACCCCAAGCGCGATGTCTCTATATTATACATACAACGAATATATATATGCTGCTATCTTTGCTACTGTGGTCCGAGCTGCTGCTGCTGCCGGTGGCTGCGGCGGCGCGTCGACTCGAGTTTATATATAATGCATGCCGCTATCTGTGAAATATGCGACGTTTTCACGCTTGCCCGACTACGCGCGAATTCGTCACGCGGATTAAGCTCGACTCGGCTATACACTAAGTCATTCCTCGGGAGCTCGAGGGTTGTATTTCTCTCTCTCTCTATCTCTCTTCTCTCTTTCGTGGCGTACTCGACGCTGCCGATGCCCATACACTGCCCGGTCGCGGAGGAGATATTCGTTCGTGTATGGCCGCGCAGTATAGTTCAGGTTTGTATACATACCGAGCTCTCTTTTTGGTCGTGACTGCCGTATACTAAAGCCGTAAGCACGTATCGTGTATTATGAGGAAATCTTCGACGAAATTCGAGATCGAAGTTGCGATTGAAATTATGTAACGTAATGAGTGTCAATAATTTTTTATAGATGCCTTGTCAATCGTGGAAAAATGTGGAAACTATATAAAATGTTGATGAGTACATGTTTTCAATAGTTATTCCGAGTTTTCATAAACATACTGAAATCGTTCGAAGCTTTTATCTTAAGTACGCATTTTTTAGCTTTGGTATAAAATAAGTAGTTAGAGTAGAAAAAAATGTGAGATTGTATATAACTTATGAAAAATGCTAATGCATCATTGAATAAGTATAATTGTTTTGTAATAGACATCGATTAACTGAACATAAAAAAGTTATGAAATGAAAAGGGTATGAAGTCGTTCAAATAATACTTAAATATCGCTCATAAAAACTTGAATTAATGCTATAAATGAGCAACATTTGAAGTATTTTTCGACAAATCATTGGTTGGAAAGTGCTTTGTGTGTCGTTTAATTCAGTGATGAAAAAAACATGTCAACACAGCAAAGGAGGTTAGACCTTACGGGCCTAACCTGCCCGTGTAGTATTGTTATATTTGGTGCATTGGCCATGCACACCGACACCCTCCCAATCCAGTGCTTTGACATTTTTTTACATTACTGAATTAAAAGATACACGCTATAAATATAAAGAATAAAGCGTCGAATAATTTTGCCTTAACGCGATTAAAAAAGAGAAAAAAATTTTTTTCCAAGAGTAAATTCTAATCAACGGGTCATCTCGCTTAAAACATACATCTAAGGCGTTCACTTTAAACCGAAAAATGACGTAAGACTTATGCACGAGGAAACCCTTCAAATGTTACACCTTAATAGTGGTGGGGTCTATAGTGGGGATTCGATAGTATTATACACTGCCATTTATGATGCAGTATTTGTTATGAGTGGCAGGGAGAATTCACAAGGGTGGGATGACGGGAAACTAATGTACTTCGCATCAGAACCTTTTCGATCTCCGCATTGACAAGGTCAACGCTCATCGTGCATAGTTTGCGCACATACGTGAAGTCAGTGCTCACCTAATATTTCAAAGTGATGCTAATTAATTGAGCTACAAATAATAGTGAGATATTTATTCAATGCAGTGTCAAGTTGTATTTCTTTATGAGCCAATTAATTACAAATTATTTTTGTGAGCGATTACAGGTCGTTACTTGGAATCGAAGGATAGTGTCAACTATTTTTGGTGCTTAATTTTAACTGTTTATATTTCTGTCAATCGTGAAAAGTTACAGTACATACAGTACATACAGTGAATACATAATCAAAGAGACAATGGAAAGCCACAGTGACGTAGTTAGGTATAACTTTTATGTGTGTTTTAATGACGATATAATTTTTTAAGAGATCCTTATTAAATTCAATTAATTTATAGAGTAAAAGAAGAGCCGAAAGATACTTGGGCCACAGAAGATCACGATTATGTTCTTGATTTGGTAGACTCTTGCAAAGCAGAAAACTCCGAAATGATGCCTGTTCATAAATTATCGGTAAGCTCAATATTATTTATCAGTGTTATATGAATGCACTATGAGAAAAAAAAACCCAAAATTGTAATTTCAGGCACAACACTCGAACGAGGCTGTGGCGCTACCGAAAAGTTTGCATGAAAATATGATAATAGATTTCGAATGCAAAGATGTTAAACTTGAACAGCTACCTGTATCAACAACCATCTGCAAATCCGAGTATCAAACTTCCCTACCTATTGTAAAAATAGAAAACGATAATCAGAGAGACAATTCGTACGAAAGTATAAACAAGGATGTTGAGTGCAATAATGTTAAGCTTGAGTTAGAATCTCGATCCACAACCATCTGCCAATCTGACATTGAAAATATTCAACCTATTGCGAAAGTAGAAAACGAAAGTCCGACGTATAACATAAATGAAAGTGTATCAATTGATTTTGAGTGCAAAGATTTTAAACTTGAACTGCCGTCTATACCGACGACCATCTGTAAAGCCGAGTATCAAACTTGTCAACCTATCGTAAAAATAGAAAATGAAAATCAGAGAGACGACGCATATGAAAGTATAGATAACGACGTTGGCATTGGAAATATTCAAAGTAGTGTAAAAATAGATAACGAAAATCAAACAGTTAACGTAAATGAAAGTATATCAATTGATTTTGAGTGCAAAGATGTTAAACTTGAGCTGCCATCTACATCAGCGACTATCTGCAAATCAGAAAATCTATCTTGTCTCCCTATTATACAAATAGAAAACGAACATCAGATAAATTATATAAATGAAAGTATAACAATTGATTTTGAGTGCAAAGATGTTAAACTTGAATTGCCATCCCTATCAACTGCCACCTGCAAATCCGAGTATCAAAGTTGTCAAATGCATATGAAAAGAGAGAACGAAAATTTGACCACTTGCATAAATAGTAATAATCCAATGGTGTTGATAAAAAAAGGGTTCAACTACGATGATAATTGTCAATGGAATGTAAAATTCCCATTAAAACTTGCTGAATGTAATAGGATAAAAAGTTTTAAAAAAACTGTTGCAAAAAAATCATCGAACAAGTCAAAAATAAGTCGAAAAATATACAGAGTAAAAGCCAATTTAAAAAGGCGTACAGGCATCGTACTTGAAAAAATCAGACCATACAATAGTAAAATTGGTCAAAAATCATTTGAATGTAAACAAACCCTCAAAAAACTTGCTAACTCCATTAATAAACACCGCACACGCTTTGA